CAGAAATCCTCTTATACTCGCGACATAGGCCATTTTATACCCATGTCACAACTGTGAGATAGAAGGTGAGATGCAAATATTTGTGTTTCAACTTAACTCTTCAAATCTCCTTCAGCCCTCGACCTGCAGATGTCACGAATGTCACACCTTATGTAACGGTCAAGACTTAATATGTGACATAGGAGGTGTGACAAGCTATGAAACACCTTTAGCTTGCTAGAAAATTTGTCCATCTCACGGTTTTGTGGTACATCTCATGGCTTAAGACGTGAGATGGCCTCCCAGGCCATGAGATGGACTCTTTCTTCACTTTTTGGTTTGTTTTGACACCCGATCATCCTGAAACTGGCTCATAAGCTCCATCCAAGTACTAAGACCTAAAATAAGACAAAAGGAACACAACCTAACGTGAAATAGGACAAGTAAATACAAAAACCAAGTCAAACGATAAAGGAATGAGGATACAAACATGTATAATTATGTCATTATCAAAATCCCCCACACTTAACCGTGTGCTTATCCCTAAGCAAACATGACTCAGACTAGTGCAATTCACTTGACTCCCACAATAGCATGCCATTTTAATCACTAGTAGCGGATCAACTAGCAACTTACGAGGTCAACTAGAGACAAGACATCTCATAACCACCTTGACGAGCACCCTAGCCTTGAGTTAGGACAAGCCGAACAGTAGAGCTAGGACAAGCAACTTTTAAATATAGAGAAGAACAAAAATATTAAAAACTATGGACTCCGTTTAGCTGTTCTTCCTTTAGAGGTTCAAACTTTTGAACATCTTTTCGGCTTTAATATGGTTGTTCATTGTTGTACGATCTCGTGATCAAAGTAGAAGTGACATCACTCCTCTATCTGGTCCATGCGGGAAAGAGGTGCAAGTGGGGACTGAGAGTAATACGTGAAGGTTTAGAAACAAGATCCTTGACTGCAATCCCATCCGTAGGAAAGATCTAAAGAGATCATCCTAAGTTAATGATAGGTTGCCACAACATGTGAGATTTTTAAGATGTGGAGGTCTCTAAACTTTATATGAAGAAACAATCTTTTCTCTATCAAGTCCCGTGAGGAGGAGAGGTGTAAGAGAGGATAGAGAGTAGTAGGTGAAGGTTGGTCGGTGTAGCCTTGTCTCCCTTACACATTCTCAAAACACACTCTAGTCCTTAAGATAAACCATTTGGCAGTTTTATTTAGTGTTGTGACCAGTTGCCAACTCATGTGAGACACTCATATACAAATTCAAAATAGGGCACCTTTTTACAAAACATTTCGAGCCCACAACATGGTAAGAGTGAATGACACTCCACAAATCACTAATCCTAACAAGACTAATCCACAGATCAACCAACACAGTATGAAATGGGGAGCAAATATCTCATGCACCAACATGCGCCAGAGCTACACTAGCCTTCCTAGATTACATAATACCATGGAAACTAGCAATTCAAATCACACTAAGTAAGTAATTTCAAGGAACAATATATAGTGAGCCCTCAAATTTCAAAAAATTTGGACAATGGACTAGCTTCCAAGCACTCACATTCACACCGTTCATTCACACACATACATTATGGAACACCCCCAACACTTAAACACGACATTGTCCTCAATGGAGAAAAAATAATGAGGGTAGAATGAAGTTATTGGATCAGGCGTGAAGGATGGTGGATGGAACAAAAGGTGCATTCCATGGAAGAGAGATTAGGTGGAATCACAAAAACCACACTAGATCTCACAAAGGTTGATTTATTGACTTTAAAAACTGCAACCTAAGAGATTAGGTGGAATCACGAACAAGCTCTTCTGTAACATCATGGCTTGGACGGTGGTTCCTAAGTCTCAGTCTAGCCTAAAAACTCCTTTTATTTGAGGTTCTCATCAGTGATGTGGAGTCTCAGGTCACGAGCAATAGGTGAGACAAGTTTTGAGGGCTCATGGACTTGATTCAGATGGACACACCACCCTCGAGACCCCTCCTTCTTCTTCTCGTCCCTCTTTTCATTTCTCCAAACCAGGTAAGACAAAATAGATTGACCACCACAACATCCACCAAAAGGGATCGATGATGGTTTGACCTTGGTTCAACAAAGAATAACCACAAAAAGGTCCTTCTTTGGAAGCTCCTCAAGGTTAGGTGGGGGTCTCATATATGACTATGGGCTTGTAGCAACCTCGACCACCTTGACATCATTCTTTGCTTGGAACTCAATTGCTTCTTAAATCTCCTTTCCTTCTCCAATAGTAAGCTCCTCCCTTTGGGATAAATCAAGAGCTCCATCTTCTCTACTCTCTACTTCTTCCTCCTTAACTTTTCTCTCACCCTTTCATCCTCTTCCGCAAGCAAGAATTTTAAAGCAAGTTACCCTGCAAGACTCCCGATAAGATCAGCTTGCATATCCTCATTTGTATCTATCTCTTCAAAACTCGACGCAGAACATGAAAGGGTGTGGTCTGCCACCATAGTACATGTCTGATCATGATCATCACGGGAGCTAACGGTGGCGACTTATGTCTGATCATGATCCTAATTATGTAGCAGCAGCTAAGAGACGATCGTGAGCTAATCGTGCACAAGTTTGCTTAACCATCTCGTTTAACTTCTCAATGTGTTTGAGGGCATCCTCCGTTGCATACAAAAGAGATTGGATCGAGAGGGGTGAGGGGTGGAAATATAATATTGGAGCATGCTCTTTCAAACTGATCCATAGCAAGCTCCAACTAACTTTTAGGCTCTGGTTCTGGAGTGTAGCATGACTCTACAGAATTGCCCATGAAGGTCGTCATGGATCACTCCAAGTCAAATGTACTCTCTAGTTGTGGATAGAGGTATTCCTGATGTGGAGTTGGTTCATGAAACACCCAAGGGTCTGGTTGTGCATGTAAAAGGTGGTTGTTCATGGAACTCGAATTCGTAGCCTTCTCTGTAATGGGTATACCACAAAGGATCAGGGTAATACCAACTAGGTGTTGGTTGATAACTCACTAGTCAAAAAATTCATGGGGATTCATAATTCAGATATGCACAGCCAAAAGCAAAAAACACCCAAGCAAAAACCAATGATGGTAAAGGGAAAAAAAAACAAAATAAAGAATATCTAAATCAACAAACTTATGTTTTTCCTAATATCCTAGCCACTCACCAAAAAATGAATGATGATTCTCTAACTTGATTCACCATTCATTCGCAATGTAGAGAATCCTTGACTAGACCTTCAATCTTGATTAAAGCAGCGGCAACCTTTTTGAATCAGTTGCTTAGAGGAATGTATCCTTCTCTAAAACAATCAATCAAGTAGTTTTTTACTAGAATCCCTCTATTGGGTGAGATTCCCACACAATACATAGCATGCATTGAATCACTATCATGTTATGGATCCGTTATTTCCAATCCATGGTGCTCTATTGACCTAGTCATGTATTCCCTCTCATAGAAACAAAGCAAAATCAATATTCTCAACTAAATCATAATTAATTTGTGAAATCAAGCATAGATTGAATATAAACTCAAGATTATCTAGATCTTCAATCTCTATCTCCAAGCTTGATTCCCGAGATCCAATAGCAAAGAAATCCTCCAAAATAGCTACAAGAATGTGTCCAAGTCGCCCTCTCTCTTTAGGGTTCGTCCGTTGGATTTTTGGGATCCAGAACTCAACTCACCTTCTCCATAATCACAAAAATTCTTTTATACTCATGACAAAGGCCATCTCACCCGCTATGTCATGGCAATGAGATAGTGGGTGAGATGCGAAACTCTGCGTTTCAACTTAACTCGTCAAATCCCCTTCATACCACGACTTAGGATGTCACGGCCTATGTCATGGCTTATGTCACGGTCGTGACTTAAGTCGTGACATACGTGGTGAGACAAGTCATGAAACACCTTCAGATTTGTGGAATTTTTGGCCATTTCACGCTTTGGTGGTGCATCTCATTGCTTAAGTCGTGAGATGGGCTCTCAAGCCATGAGAAGGACTCTGCCTCCACCTCTTTGCACGTTTTGAAACATGATCATCCCATAACTTGCTCTTAATCTCCATCGACGTACTAGGAACTTAAATATGACAAAAGAAACACAAGCTACCGTTAAATAGGCCAAGGAACTACTTGTGATATCTCGATTCTGGACTTGGGTTCAACAACAACTACCAGGAGAATCGGTCAACATGTCCAGTCAAAGTAACATTTTGTTTCATCACTTTTGGATCAAGTTGTGAAACAAAATGGGTAGGGAGTCACTCAAGGTTACACGAATGTACCAGCTGAGGAAATATAGTGATCAAAGGTTACCAATTAAGTTGTTATGGTAAGAATAAATGATAGGGGGAAGGAAGTATAAGAAGGGTGTTGATAGAAGGATGAGTTTCGAGCAAATTTCGGGGACGAAATTTTTATAAGGGTGGAGGAAATGTAACACCCCGAATTTTGGGTTCAGGTTCGACCAAAATACAGGAACGGTTGGGTTAACGGTTACGTACGAAGGGTTGCAACCGTGAATTAGTAATAATAATTTATTATATTATTATTACTAATATATATATATATATAATGCATTCTATGGTACCCCGGGTGAAATTCGGGGTACCGTATACCTTGAGTATGCAAACTCTATCTAGACCTCGAATTAACAGGAATTTTGGACCTGATACTATACCCTAACTCTTAATGAGTGAACCCTAGGTCCTAGTTATCTAAATCATAAACTATAAACCCTAAGATTGTGCATTCATGCCTATATTTGGGCGAATCATAACCGTCGATTATTGTTTCTAATTAAATTGATCTTGGGGTATAAGATTTAGGGAATTAAGGCCTAGATTGTGATCTTTGAGGGTTAGAGTATAGTATCATGTCCGAAAATTCAATCAATTCACGGTCTAGATAGCGTTTTCATACTCAATGTATGTGGTACCCTGGATTTCACCCTGGGTACCGTAGAACTCCCCATATATATATATAATTGGTACAGGAGAGGGCCGAGCGGCCACTCCCCCTTTTTCACTTTCCCCAACTATCTCCATCTCTTCATCAAATCCCCACACAAAATCTAGGGTTACGACGCCATCCCCTAAGAAGCTTCCTGCTCCTGTCTCGTTGGGACTTATGGTTAAATCACCGCCTGCAACAACTAGGAGGCGTAAGAGGGCAGCATCTAAACCTAAATCAAAAGCAAAATCAAGATCAAAATCAGCTAATGCTGATAGTCCGAGTGCTAGTAGCTACACTACATCATCTAGAAGTGATTCTGGTGATTCTTCTTCTTCTTCAGATCATCCTTCACCCGACACTGAATCAGCTGGAATGGAAACACCACAGAGTCCTTCCAGTAAAGTTGTTGATGTCCCAATTTCATTTGATCTAGCTGCTACCCCTGCTGATACAGTGAAGAAGAGAAGGCGCACTGCTTCATGGAAAATTGGTGCTAATGGTCGAATGACAATTGGTTCTTCTGCTAATGAGGGGGATATGAGAATGACTGCATCTTGTGTTAAGACCATTAGGAATCTGGATCCTTCAGTTGGAGGAAGTGGTACTGAATTGATGGTTATAGATGAACATACTAGAGGCGGTTCATTGGACCAATTGGTGGGACGTGGGTGATGTTCAAAAGGTGGATAATATGGTCACAGTAGGAAGAGGAAGGAACGGACGATGACAAATTAGGTTTTGTCAAATCGACTTCAACAATAAGTTGAGTGTAAAGGAGGTAAATTATACGCCTTACGATTTTCAATTATTTGCCTTGAGTATTTTCGAGTATTGTTTTACGTGATGTATGTGCAGTATTTGATTCATGTTTGAGATTGCATGATTATGGTTGGTGATATGTGCCTTGTTTGAATTATGACTTGAAGTGACTGGTTATTATTTACCTTGAAATTTTCCTGAGTATAAGTTATTGTTAAAGTTTAAGAAACAAGTTCTTTTTAAGAAGTACATCACCTTCAAGAAGGTGAAGTCGTTTTAAGTGTTTTTAGTCGCTAGCGCCAGTCCGTTGCCATTTGAGATTTTCAGATTGGGCAGCAGTTATGCTCTTGAGATCTTTGAGACAGAGAAGTAGTTATGCTCTTGAGACTTTTAAGATGAGCAGCAGTTATGCTCTTGAGAATCGTGGTGAAGAGCCACCACGATAAGTTTAAGATGTTAGGGGGATGAATCGTTACGACTCCCCTAACTAAGTTCAAATTTGAAGGAAAGCCTGGATGGCTCCTCATACGTATGAGTTGGCAACCGAACTAGCTAGTGAGAGATCCTCGTGTCAGTCAAGTATTTAAGTTGAGATTCGAGTTTTAAGAGTACAGTTTCAAGAGTCAAGATTTTTAATACTGGAGGTACAAAACAACTTCCACTCAGTTAAGTAAAGTGATCAAGTATTAAAAAGATGTTAAACGTAAGGGCGTAGACTGACCCCATCTCACTCACTAGTTTGACGAGCTAGAGAAGGAGCTATAGGAGTAGTTAGTGAGCAGCAAGTTCGAGGGCAGCCAGCTGGAGAAGGGCAGTGTAAGTGTCATAGAGAATGTCTAGTTAAGATTTTCAGTAGCAGCAACAAAATGTGATATGATGAGATAGAGAAAAGTTTTCCAATTTGTATTTGCTAGAATTCTAATGGATCCCACCAAGAAAGCAAGTAGGAAAAAATATACTGGAATAAAAGAAATAAGTAAAAAAGTTCCGCGATGGTCGTACAAATTAATCGATACTTTGGAACACACTATTACCGATACAAAAAGAATGGGAAAAATTGGATTCAATTGTCAACTGCTCCTATCGGAAATAGGATTGACTATGGATTCGAGCCATAGCACATGGTTTCATTAAAGCGTATGCTTTTCCCAATTATCAAACGATTGAAGAGCCGGGAGCAATTTACTTACGATACTTAGTTGACATTCATAAAAAGTATCTAATGAATTATGAGTTCAATACACCCTGTTTAGCGGAAAGACGGATATTCCTTGCTCATTATCAGACAATCACTTATTCACAAACCTCGTGTGGGGGCTCTCATCCACATGGATAGTTCAATGTGATCATCAACGCCTGACCCGGGGATGTGGATCATCCAAGGCACATTAGCATGGCGTACTTCTCCTGTTCGAACCGGGGTTTGAAACCAAACTTCTACTCAAGGGCGCGAGACAACTCTCTCTAAGGAACTCGGCAAAATAGCCCCGTAACTTCAGGAGAAGGGGTGCCTCCTCACAAAGGGGGGTCGCAGTGACCAGGCCCGGGCGACTGTTTACCAAAAACACAGGTCTCCGCAAAGTCGTAAGACCATGTATGGGGGCTGACGCCTGCACCATACTTGTTCAATTTATCTCTCTCAACTTGAATCCCGTGAGGAGGGCCTTGGAAAGTTTTAGTATAAGCAGGAGGGATTGTTATCCAGGAACTTGTTCAGAAATACTGTAAAGAAAGGAACATAGGAGTTTGTCGCTAGGTATTTGACCAAATAGGATCGTCCAGTTCCTATAGAACCTA